CCCATTGCTGGCTGTCTCCAATCGTCCACACTCAGCCATGTGGCCACTTTTCCAGGTCTCCTCACACATGCTGGTGTGTTTCCATTTGTGGTTCATAGGGTGCTGGCAGATTACGGGTCCCTCCCATTAGCTGCTGCCAGGCCCCTAATATCTGCCATGGGCCCCTATAACCGCCTCCCCTCATGCTGCTGCCAGTGTCCAGAGTCTCTCATTGGGTCCCTGTAACGGCCATCCCAATGCGTCGCTGTGTCCTTCCATCGCCACACTCTGCCATGTGCCCACTTTCTGGTCTCCTTCACACTGCTGGTGTGTTCCATTTTTTGTCTTAGGGTGCTGGCAGATTACGGGCCTCCCATAGCTGCGCCAGGCCCCTAATCTGCCATGGGCCCCTATACCGCCTCCTCATGCTGCTGCCAGGTCCAGAGTCTCTCATGGGTCCCTTGTACGGCCTCCCATGTGCTGCTGTCTCCATCGCCACACTCTGCCATGTGGTGCCACTTTTCAGGTCTCCTGGCCCGTAATCTGTCATTGGCCCCTGTTGTCGCTTGTTGGCATATTCCGCTCGTTCAGATGCTCCTTCTCCTGCTACTCCTCTTCACGGATTCCGTCAGCAGTCTTTCTTGGAATCCGTTTCCAAGAGACAACAGTTTGCGAGCACGCACCCGACGGTGCAGAAGCTGAACGTCCTCCTGTCCAAGTTGCTGCTGCCAGGCTCGTAATCTGTCATGCGCCCCTGTACCGCCTCCTCATGCTGCTGCCAGGTCCAGAGTGTGTCATGGGCCCCCGTACCGACTCCTCATGCTGCTGCCAGGCCCGTAATCTGTCATGGGCCCCTGTACCGCCTCCCCATGCTGCTGCCAGGTCCAGAGTGTGTCATGGGTCCCTGTACGGCCTCCCATTGCTGCTGCCAGGCCCGTAATCTGCCATGGGCCCCCGTACCGACTCCTCATGCTGCTGCCCAGGCCCGTAATCTGTCATGGGCCCCTGTACCGCCTCCTCATGCTGCTGCCAGGTCCAGAGTGTGTCATGGGTCCCTGTACGGCCTCCCATTGCTGCTGTTTTCCATCGCCACACTCTGCCATGTGCCACTTTCAGGTCTCCTCACACTGCTGGTGGTTTCCATTTTTGGTCATAGGGTGCTGTATGGCCTCCCATTGCTGCTGCCTCCACCGCCACACTGTGGCTCCACACTCTGGTTTTGGCCCCGTGACTGCCCAAATGAGTGAAGTGTGCGGTGATTCTAAGATCGACGGCACTCATCTGCATGTCATACTGACTGACAGTATTATTTCTCTTCCCCAGCAGACTCCAAGGGCATTTAAATTAAAGGTACAGTGTTCTGCACTAATATTGAGTCTCTCTGAAGCCTAGAAACACCCTTTTTTAAGTTAAATTCACAGCGAATATATTCGAATCGAAATTTTTCCACGAATTCGCCGAATCAGTCGAATCGAATTTTTGAATACTTCGCTCATCTCTAATCATTACTATTGACTTGTATACTGTAGTATAAAAGCAGTTCAAATACAGCAGAGCAGGGAATTCTGTATTTACGAATGCATGGCAAGACCAACGAAAAACATGTTTCCACTGCTTGAGACCTTCATGATATTCAAAATGTACGCAATGCAGTTCAGATCCAAAGTGTTTTACAAATGCATGTCAGCAGCTAAAATTAAACGCCAATAATCATGGTCATAAATATGTTGGGAGATATCTGCCCAAGTCTGAATACACTGTAGCCCACCTTCATTATGTGTCTTGGCCAAGGGATACCATTGCAGTCATACTAACTTCCATATTGTAAATAAGATTGTATTTGATAACAAGTACTTTTATATGAGCAGAAGCACTTATCTTAAACTAGAGCCCAAATGACTCAACCAAGGCTGGGGTAGGAACGGCTTATGGCCACTCCTATTGACAGGTACAGTACATCAAGTCCCAGAAGACTGATGCAAGAATTGGCAAGTTTTTTATCAAAATGCCAAATGTATCCCCATAAAGATGATCGACTTTAATTATCCATATCTCTTGTTTCATCCACAGTGAAAGTTATAAGTCCTCATGGAAAACAACAACCACAAACGTGTGTCCAGCATTATACTGTAGATATTGCATTTATTCTTTTTTTCCGTATGACAGGAGGGGCAGTATAACTAATTTGTTTAAAATCACCTACTTTTCCAGTTCCTATAACCTTTATACAGGGGCGGACTGATCATTTGGAAACTCGGACACTGCCCGAGGGCCCAGGGTCAGTAGGGGGCCCCATGAGATGCCCTTGGTACCTTTTTTATAGGCTTTTTTGAGTTTGGGCAAAGACACAGGGGCCCGATGATCCCCTATTGCCCGGGGGCCCCATGAGTTGTCAGTTCCGCCCCTGCATTTATAACATTAACACAGAAGGACAGATATAATGTACAGTATGTCACATAGTTACATAGTTAGTCTGGCTGAAAAAAGACATAAGCCCATCTAGTTCAACCATAAAAAAAAAAAAAAGTTATAATCCAACACCCACAGTTGATCCAGAGGAAGGCAAAAATAACCGAGCAAAGCATGATCCAATTTGCTCCTGCTGGGAAAAAAATTCCTTCCTTATCCCCCGAGAGGCAATCGGATATTCCCTGGATCAACTTTACCTATAAATGTTAGTATCCAGTTATATTCTGTGTATCTAGGAAAGAATCCAGGACTTTTTTGAAGCAATCCACTGAGCTGGCCAGAACCAACTCTTGAGGGAGTCTATTCCACATTTTCACAGCTCTCACTGTGAAGAAACCTTTCCGTGTTTAGAGATTAATTTATTTTCCTCCAGACGTAAAGAGCGCCCCCTTGTCCTCTGTGATGACCTCAGGGTGAATAGCTCTACACCGAGTTCACTATATGAACCACTGATGTACTGTATTTATACATGTTGATCATATCCCCCCTTATGTATTATACATGGTGATCATATCCCCCCCTTATGTATTATACATGGTGATCATATCCCCCTTATGTATTACACATGGTGATCATATCCCCCCCTTATGTATTATACATGGTGATCATATCCCCCCTTATGTATTATACATGGAGATCATATCCCCCCTTATGTATTATACATGGTGATCATATCCCCCCTTATGTATTAATACATGGAGATCATATCCCCCTTATGTATTATACATGGTGATCATATCCCCCTTATGTATTATACATGATGATCATATCCCCCCTTATGTATTATACATGGAGATCATATCCCCCCCTATGTATTTATACATGGTGATCATATCCCCCCCCCTATGTATTATACATGGAGATCATATCCCCCCTTAATGTATTATACATGGTGATCATATCCCCCCCTTATGTATTATACATGGAGATCATATCCCCCCTTATGTATTATACATGGTGATCATATCCCCCCCCCCCCTTATGTATTATACATGGAGATCATATCCCCCCTTATGTATTATACATGGAGATCATATCCCCCCCTTATGTATTATACATGGTGATCATATCCCCCCTTATGTATTATACATGGTGATCATATCCCCCCCTTATGTATTATACATGGTGATCATATCCCCCCTTATGTATTATACATGGAGATCATATCCCCCCCTTATGTATTATATTATTTTTATGATGATCATATCCCCCCTTATGTATTATACATGGAGATCATATCCCCCTTATGTATTATACATGGAGATCATATCCCCCCTTATGTATTATACATGGTGATCATATCCCCCCTTATGTATTATACATGGAGATCATATCCCCCCTTATGTATTATACATGGAGATCATATCCCCCTTATATTATACATGGTGATCATACCCCACCTTATGTATTATACATGGTGATCATATCCCCCCTTATGTATTATACATGGAGATCATATCCCCCCCTTATGTATTTATACATGGAGATCATATCCCCCCTATGTATTATACATGGAGATCATATCCCCCCTTATGTATTATACATGGTGATCATATCCCCCCCTTATGTATTATACATGGAGATCATATCCCCCCTTATGTAATTATACATGATGATCATATCCCCCCTTATGTATTATACATGGAGATCATATCCCCCCTTATGTATTATACATGGTGATCATATCCCCCCCTTATGTATTTATACATGGTGATCATATCCCCCCCTTATGTATTATACATGGAGATCATATCCCCCCTTATGTATTATACATGGTGATCATATCCCCCCCCTTATGTATTATACATGGAGATCATATCCCCCCTTTAGTATTAATACATGGTGATCATATCCCCCCCCCCTTATGTATTATACATGGAGATCATATCCCCCCTTATGTATTATACATGGAGATCATATCCCCCTTATGTATTATACATGGTGATCATATCCCCCCTTATGTATTATACATGGTGATCATATCCCCCCCCTTATGTATTATACATGGTGATCATATCCCCCCTTATGTATTATACATGGAGATCATATCCCCCCTTATGTATTATACATGATGATCATATCCCCCCTTATGTATTATACATGGAGATCATATCCCCCTTATGTATTATAGATGGAGATCATATCCCCCCTATGTATTATACATGGTGATCATATCCCCCCTTATGTATTATACATGGTGATCATATCCCCCCCTTATGTATTATACATGGAGATCATATCCCCCTTATGTATTATACATGGAGATCATATCCCCCTTATGTATTATACATGGAGATCATATCCCCCCTTATGTATTATACATGGTGATCATATCCCCCCTTAATCTCCTCTTTTCAAGAGAGAATAAATTCAGTTCCTCTAATCTTTCCTCATAGCTGATCTCCTCCATGCCTCTTATCAGTTTAGTTGCCCTTTAATCCTTTTGGCTCCTACTGATGTTGAGTGGAGTAACTGGGGTTGATTTACTAAAAGCAAATAGAATGTTCACTTTGCAAATGTAGTTACATTCTTCAAGGAGATTTGCCCCAGAGTTTGATGAATGTAGTGAAGTTTCATTCTGAAATCACATGCAAGGACAATAAAATAAAAAAAAAAACATTTTTGCATGCACAGGATTAGATGATGGAAGTCGGCAGAGCTTCACCTGATTCACTAGGTTCTGAGGCAAAAGCCCTTGCAAAGTGCAACTTCCCTTGCAAGATGAATAGCATTTCTGCCTTTAGTAAATAAAACCCCACTGGAAACACTGACAGAGGTAAAATTTCAGGAAGAGGAACGGACAGGAGCTTGGGGATCAAATAGAATCTTTGAGCTTCACGATCAAACTCATTTGATTTATAAATTCCTATCATTGGCTTAAATAAGCAATCAAATTCCTTCTTTAAAGTTTCTAGTGCAGTATTGGAGGAGATTTTACCAATGGATATTTTTTAACTGCTCCCCCCCGCAGCCCTTTAGCACAAATACTGCTACAGGGTGGCAGGGCTGCACGAAATCACGTAAATATACATGATTTTGCATTTCTGGGTAGGGGCCATTGGCAGCTACGGCTGTTAATTACCGGGTCTTGGCCGGAGATTCTCTGCTGGCACCCGGCAAGCGCTGAAGAACACTGACAGAGGAGAGTTCTGTATACAGATCTATCCCCTGTCAGCTCTAGCATTTGCTTTGTATTGCTCTGCATAGCAGAGCAATGCAAAGTAGCGTGCTTACACAGTAAAGCGCACATAGTAAAACAGCACACAGTTAACCCTTTGATTGCCCCAGATGTTAACCCCTTCCTGCCCAGTGCCATTAGTACAGTGTCAGTGCTTTTTTTTTAGCACTGATCACTGTATTACTGTCACTGGGGATGTCAGTGGTAGTCAGTGTCAGTTAGTGTCACAATGCCCGCCACAGTCCCACTATAAGTCGCCGATCGCCGCCATTACTAGTATAACATTTTTTTTCTTTAAAAATTCCAGTATACCGTATTTTTCGCACCATAAGACGCACTTTTTTCCCCCCAAAAAAGGGGGGAAAATGTCAGTGCGTCTTATGGAGCGAATATGGAGCGGCCGGTCCGGTATTTCCACTGCCGCCGTGTCAGAATACCGGGCCGGCCGCTCAGCTCTACAGCGGGACCTTATAGAGATGACTGCTGACCTTTGGGGAGGGGGGGGGAGCGGGTACCTGAATTTGACAGGTACCCGCTCCCACTTTCGTGGAGTTGTTCTTTCATCTTACCCGTTCCTCTATCCAGCGGCGCGGTCTTCCCGGCTTCTGTAGTGTGGGCATGACAGCCGGGTGCCAAGTGCGCATGCGCAGGAAGCGGTGCTTTTTGTGAATGGTAAGGCGGCACCTGGGACACATGACAGATCCCAGAAGCCGCCGGACCAATC